CTGGGTATGGTCGAAACCCTGCAGCCGGCGATAGGTGATCGCCCGGTCGGTGAAGAGCGAGGCATAGCAGCGCCGGCAGGTTTCGAGCAGAGCCACTTCGCCGGTGACGTTCAGGAAGGTCTCCTGCTGGCCGGCAAAGCTCGCCTCGGGCAGATCCTCGGCCGTCGCCGACGAACGCACCGCGACCGACAGGTTCTGCGTCCCCGCCCGTTCGGACAACTCCTTGTAGGCGATCAGGATGTCGGCGCGTATGTCGTCGGGCCATTCGCCCTTGAAGATCGCCGCGCGGATCGCCTCGCCCGCCTGCTGCAGGGTCAGCCGCCCGTCGTCGAAGCGCTCGACCTGGTCCTTGATGAAGGCGTTCAGATCATTGTGCGCCAGATAGGCGCGGAAGGCGTCCGATGTTGTGGCAAAGCCGCCGGGGACCGACACGCCCTTGCCGCCCAGTTGCTGCACCATCTCGCCGAGCGAGGAATTCTTGCCGCCGACCTTGGCGACGTCTCCGCGTGCCAGTTCCTCGAAAAAGATGACGTTCTGCGATGAGCTGGGCACTGGGGTTACTCCCTTTGGGAAACGTTGATGGCTGCCCGCAACCTCGCGCGGCTCCAATCCGCTTTCCTTGATTGGTGTCAAGGGCAGGCAGTCTGCCGCGCTTATGTTAAGCGGCGTTGACAGTCAGGGAGTTCACGATGGACGAGGCAGCACTCAAGGCACTGCATGAAAGCTTCGAAGCGGCCGAGAGCTTCGACACGGATCAGGCCGAGGCCGGCGCCGCCATGCTGGCCGGGATCGACGGCAGCGGCATCGAGGCCGCCGACGCTCAGGCCATGCTCGCCGAAGGCGTGGACGGGGCGCTTGCCGTCACCGGGCAGGCCTTTCCCGGCTGGGCGCTGTCGTTCGACGGTCACGCCAGCACGCAAAAGAACACCATCTGGCGCTGCACGCTCAAGGAAACACGCGGTCAGGACGACGACCAGATCGTGGGGATCGGCAACGCCCGCTCGATGCGGCTGGCGCTGATGGCCGCGGTGGCGCACATCCAGATGATGCGCAAGGCAGGCTACCGATAGCGGCCTATTCGACGTCCTCGACATCGACCCGCTCGCCGGAAACCTTCTGGGCGAGTGCGGCTTCCATGAACTTGTCGAGATCACCGTCCAGAACGTCGGTCGGCGCGGTGGATTCGGTGCCCGTGCGCAGATCCTTCACGAGCTGGTAGGGCTGAAGCACATACGAGCGGATCTGGTGCCCCCAGCCGATGTCGGTCTTGGCGTCGAACTCGGACTGCGCCGCTTCCTCGCGCTTTTTCATCTCCAGATCATAAAGGCGCGCCCGAAGGGCCTTCATGGCGTTGGCGCGGTTCTGGTGCTGGGACTTCTCCGACGAGGTCACCACGATGCCGGTCGGAATGTGCGTGATGCGCACCGCCGAATCGGTCGTGTTGACGTGCTGGCCACCCGCACCGGAGGACCGGTAGGTATCGACCCGGATGTCCTTGTCCTGGATGTCGATCTCGATATTGTCGTCGATCACCGGATAGACGCCGACCGACGAGAACGAGGTGTGGCGCCGTGCGTTGGAATCGTAGGGGCTGATGCGCACGAGACGGTGCACGCCCGTCTCGGTCTTCAGCCAGCCATGGGCGTTGTGGCCCTTGACCAGGATCGTCGCCGACTTGATGCCCGCTTCGTCGCCCGCCGAATATTCCTGCAGTTCGACCTTGAAGCCGTGCCGCTCGGCCCAGCGCGTGTACATGCGCAGCAGCATGTTGGCCCAGTCCTGGCTCTCAGTGCCGCCGGCGCCCGAATGCACTTCGACATAGGTGTCGTTGGAGTCCATGTCGCCGGACAGCAATGCCTCGACCTGGCGCTTTTCGATCTGGCTCTCGAGCGAACGAATGGCGGCCTCGGCCTCTGCGACGGTTTCGGCGTCGCCCTCTTCCTCGCCCATCGCGATCAGTTCGACATTGTCGTCAAGCGCCTGGTCGAACCCTTTGATCGCGCCGATCATCTCCTCGAGGCGCTGGCGCTCCTGCATCAGCTTCTGCGCCTCGGCCGGATCGTTCCAAAGGTCGGGGTCCTCGGCGCGGGAGTTGAGATAATCGAGCCGCTTTACGGATGCATCCCAGTCAAAGATGCCTCCTCAGCAGGGCTATGGCCTGCCTGATGCTGTCGGTGAGGGTGGCGATTTCTGCGCGCATGGGATGCGGTGTGCCTCTTGCCGATGGGGAAATGGACGGCGCGCCGCAGCAATTGCGGCGCTTCGGCAGTCACTTAGGGACGAAGCGGAGAGGTGTAAAGCCCACAGTCCGTCAGAACAGACCGCCCGAGCCGCTCTGCACGGCCTGCTGCGCGTTCGGCGAAATCTGCCGCTGCCGTTCGGCCTGCTGCGCCTGGATCGCGACCTGGTCGGCGCCGATGACGAAGTAGCTGTCGGCAGGCCCCGTGCCGGGCTTGAACGCCTCGACGATGATGTCGCCGCCCTCGCTGGCACGCATGCCGGTCTTCCGGTCGATCTGAATCTGCGTCATGCCGTCGGGGATGCTGAAGTCGGTCATCGGCCGGTCCTCGAGCACCGACACCATGAACTGCTTGAACACCGGCGCGGCGAGCTGGCCGCCGGTGGCGCCGCGCCCCATCGGAGTCGGCTTGTCGAAGCCGATATAGACGCCGGTGACAAGGTTCGGCGTGTAACCGATGAACCAGGCGTCCTTGTAATCGTTGGTGGTGCCGGTCTTGCCGGCGATGGGCCGGCCCAGATCCCGCAGGCTGGTGGCCGTACCGCGCTGGACGACGCCTTCCATCATCGAGGTCATCTGGTAGGCGGTCATCGGATCGAGCACGATGTCGCGCGTATCGACCAGTTGCGGTTCGTCCTGCCCGAGCCACTGGCCGGCATCGCAGGCGTCGCACTGGCGGCTGTCCTGACGGTAGACGGTCTTGCCGTAGCGGTCCTGGATACGGTCGATCATCGAGGGCTGAATCTGCCGGCCGCCATTGGCGAGCACCGCATAGGCGGTGACCATCCGCAGGACGGTCGTTTCGCCCGCCCCCAGGGACATCGCCAGAACCGGCGAAAGATCGTCATAGACGCCGAACTGCTCGGCATATTCGGAGACCAGCTGCATGCCCATGTCCTGCGCCAGACGGACGGTCATCAGGTTGCGCGACCGCTCGATGCCAAGCCGCAGCGTCGACGGGCCGGAGACCGAACCGTCATAGTTCTTCGGCTCCCAGACCTCGCCACCCGAAACGATCGAGATCGGCGCATCCATGATCACGGAGGCGGGCGTGTAGCCATTGTCGAGAGCGGCCGCATAGACGAACGGCTTGAACGACGAGCCGGGCTGGCGGTAGGCCTGCGTTGCGCGGTTGAACTGGCTGTCGTGGAACGAAAAGCCGCCCGCCATGGCCAGAACGCGCCCGGTGACCGGGTCCATGGCGACCAGTGCGCCCGAAACCTCGGGCACCTGCTGCAAGGCATATGTGCCTTCGGCGGCATCCTCGCCCTGAACGGCGCTGACATAGATCACGTCGCCCGGCGCGACCACATCGCCGATACCGTCCGCGCTGCGCCGTTCACCATCGTCGCGCAGCCGGAAAGCCCAGTCGAAACTGCCCGCCGGGATGAGACCCTGCGCGCGGGTAGCGACGACCCCACCTCCCAGCTTGCGATCGGGACGCAGTCCGATGCGGATGCCTTCCTCGCCAGTGGCCAGCACGACGGCCAGCGTCCATTCCGGCACATCGCGCAGAAGATCGAACTCACCGAGCGCCGGACCCCAGTCGCCGGAAATGTCGATCTGGCCGATCGCACCGCGCCATCCCCAGTCCCGGTCGAAATCGATCAACCCTTCCTGAAGTGCGGTCCGCGCCTGGTCCTGCATGACCGGGTCAAGCGTCGTGCGCACCGACAGGCCGCCTTCATAGAGCGCGTCATTGCCGTAGCGTTCGATGATCTGCTGGCGCACCTCCTCGGTGAAATATTCCGACGCGAACACGAAATCGCCCGACCGGCGGAAATTGACGTCGAGCGGCTCGTCCTTGGCGATTTCGCCGGCCTCGGTGGTCACATAGCCATTCTCGACCATGCGATCGATGATCCAGTTGCGGCGCGCCAGCGCGGCCTCGGTGTCGTCGAACGGATGGTAGTTGGACGGCGCCTTGGGCAGCGCGGCCAGATAGGCGGCCTCATGCAGGTCGAGCTCGTTCACCGCCTTGCCGAAATAGGTCAGCGCCGCGCCGGCAATGCCATAGGAGCCGGCGCCAAAGAAAATCTCGTTGAGATAGAGTTCGAGAATGCGGTCCTTGGAATAGGCCTGCTCGATACGGAAGGCCAGAAGCGCTTCCTTCACCTTGCGGTCGACCGTGCGGTCGCTGGTCAGAAGGAAGTTCTTGGCGACCTGCTGGGTGATCGTCGAACCGCCCACCAGCCGACGGTTCGACCCGCCGACGACGATTTCGACGTTTGTCGCCATGGCACGTGCGAGCGCCAGGAAATCGACGCCCACATGATTGTAGAAGTTCTTGTCCTCGGCCGACAGGAACGCCGCCTTGACGCGGTCAGGCACCGCCTGGATGGGCAGGAACAGCCGGCGCTGGCGCGCAAATTCGCCCATCAGCTGACCGTCGACCGAATACATGCGCGTCGTCACGGGCGGCTCGTAGCGGGCCAGCACCTCATAGTCGGGCAGTTCGTCGGCCAGGTTGCCGATATAGATCACCACAGCGGCCGCCACCAAAAGGAACGCCGCCATGCCGATGCCGAAGAAGTAGCCCAACAAGCGTATCATCGTATTCGTCTATCCCGTCCACACGGTCGCAATCCTGTCCGGCGCGCCGCGTCCCAAATTCCGATTCAAGCGCTGCGGCTACAATGAGACCGCATCATGGCAACCGCGAATATAACAGACGCGAGCGGGGTTTGACGTAACGGCAGAGCTCTTTGGCCGCTGTAACGGTTACCCCTGCCCGCGCCAAGACCGCGCGGAGCATCCAGCGTCAGTTTCCGGCGGCCGCGCGCGCCTCGCCCGCAAGCTGCCGGCCGGACAAAGCCCCGAACTCGGCCACGGCAGCGGCCAGTTCGGCCGCCAGTTCGGCCCGCCATTCGGGCTTGTTGAGCAGTTTTTCGTCTTCCCGGTTCGACAGATAGCCCAGTTCGACGAGAACGGACGGCACGTCGGGCGCCTTGAGAACGCGAAACCCGGCATAACGGTGCGGATTGTTGATGATGCGCGAGGCGCGCGAAATGTGCGAGATGGCGAGCCGCGCGAACTGGACCGAAAAGCCGAGCGTTTCCTGACGCGCCAGATCGACGAGAATGTCCGCCACGGGGCCGCTTTCTTCTTCATAGACGATGCCGGCGATCGAATCGGACAGGTTCTCCGAGCGCGCGATTTCCGCTGCGACCGAATCGGAAGCCTTGTCCGAGATCGTGTAGACCGTCGCGCCGCGCACATAGGATTGGCGCACGGAATCGGCATGCAGCGACACGAACAGCGCCGCGCCGTGCTGGCGGGCGAAACGCACCCGCTCGTCGAGGGAGATGAAGACATCGTCCTCGCGCGTCATGACCACTTCGACGCCGCCGATCGCCTGAAGTTCGTCGCGCATCGTCCTGGCGAACGCCAGGACGACATCCTTCTCGCGTGTGCCGCCGACGCCGACCGCCCCGCTGTCGATGCCGCCATGACCGGGATCGAGAACGACGGTGAACGCACCCGATCGCGGCGCCGGGGCCAGCGGCGCCGATCCCAGACGGTCGGTCTTGCTGCCGCGCGCGATGATCGAACTCGTCGCCATCGTGTCGAGCAGCGCCTGCTGAAAGGCCGCCTCATCGGTTCGCCGCAAGTCGATGATCAGGCGATAGAAGTTCTCAGCCGCCCCACTCGACAGCTCGACAACCTCAAACGGCGCGCCGATCTCGAAAATGATCCGCGATCCGGTCTCGCTCATGTCGCCGTAGCGCATTGCGCCAACCATGCCCTTCAGCGTGTCGTCGCCCGCTTCGAAGCCGTAGCCGATGCGCTCGAAATCGAGAACCAGCCGGTAGGGATGATCGAGAAGCTTGTGGTCGGCGCTCACCGGCCGGTCGAAACTGATGATGATGCGCGTTGCGTCCGCGTCGCCGGCGGCGCGCACATCGACAGCCACCGGCGCGTCGAACGCCGCCTGCGCGGCATGGGCAAACCCGAGGCTGACGGCAAGCGCCAGCACCAGCCATGCAAACAAGCGGGCAGCAAGGCTGCCCGGCCCTTGCGCCGTGCCGGTTTCCGCTGGTCTCATCGCCGGCCCACTTCCGATCCCGTGCCGTCCAACATGGGCGCCACCATAGCGGCGCCATGGTTAACCACATCTTTCAGCGCGCGCAAACGCAGGCCGGCTGCGGCATGGTGCCCGTTGAACGCAAATGCCGCCCTGATCAGACGAGTTTGGAGAGGTGCGCTGGAAGCGCCGCGATCAAATCCTCGGCGATCGCCAACGGGCCCGAGGCCCGGCCCGCCTCGCCATGCAGCCAGACCGCCGCGCACGCGGCCTCGAAGGCGGGCATGCCTTGCGCAGCGAGGCCGGCAACGGCGCCGGCCAGAACATCGCCCGAGCCCGCCGTTGCCAGTGCGGGCGTGGCATTGGCGTTGACCGCCGCCCGGCCGTCCGGCGCGGCAATCACCGTGTCGGGGCCCTTGAGGACGACGACCGCGCCGGCCCGCTCAGCGGCGGCGCGCGCCATGGCCAGTTTCCCGGCGGCCGCATCGGCAGCCAGATCGGGAAACAGCCGGGCGAATTCGCCCGCATGCGGCGTCAGCACAAGGGCCGGCTCGTCGCGCACCCGCGCCGCGTCGAACAGGCCGCTGGCATCGTCGGCAAAAGCGGTGATGCCGTCGGCGTCCAGAACCAGCGCCGGCCCCTTGTCGTCAACAATCGCCGCAGCAAGCGACCGGGCCAGCGGCAGGTCGCCGAACCCCGGCCCGAGCACCACCGCGCCGATGCCCTTGAGAGTACCGAGGGCGGCCATCGGATCGTCGCCCCATGCCCGCAGCATGATCGAGGTGACGTGCGCCGCGTGGATATCGAGCGCATTGGGATGACCAAGGATCGTTACCGCCCCGGCGCCGGCCCGCTGCGCCGCCAACGCCGCAAGGCGCGAAGCGCCGGTTCCGTGCCTTGGGCCGGAAAAAACCGCCACCGCGCCGCGCGCATATTTGTGCGTGTCGGCGCCAGGGCGCGGCAGCGCGCCGCGCCACAGGTCCGGCGCGTTCTCGAAGGTCGCGGTCGGCCGGGCCGCCCGGACCCCGATATCGGCGACGATCGTTTCGCCACACAGGGCGCGGCCGGGGTAGAGCAAATGGCCGGGCTTGCGGCGATAGAAGGTGACGGTCGCCGCGCAAGCGACCGCACCGGCTCCCTGCCCCGTATCGCCATTGACGCCCGACGGAAGATCGACCGCAAGCACCGGGCATCTTCTGTCCACGGCCCGCGCGAGCGCCGATTGGACCGGATCCGTCAAGGCTCCGGAAAAGCCGGCACCGAACACCGCATCGATCGCCAGATCGGCCGGATCGGGCGCGAACGCATCCAAACCGCCGACCGGGCCGGCCCATGTTTCGGCCGCGAGCGCGGCATCGGTGCCCGGCTTGGGCGGCGCCAGCGCATACAGACGGACCGAAAGACCCTTCCCGGCCAGAATGCGCGCAGCGACATAGCCGTCACCGCCATTGTTGCCGGGCCCGCACAGGACATGCACCCGCGCAGCCGCCGCGAACCGCGCCAGCGCGGCGTCCGCCACCGCCCCGCCTGCCCGCTCCATCAGCACGATGCCGCCGAACGCGCCGCTTTTTATGGTTGCGCCGTCCGCCGCCGCCATTTCGGCATTGGTCATCAGAGCGAACGGACCGACGTCACGCACGGGGCCTAGTTCCACTTGGCGGCAATTTGTGCCGCCGAATTGTGCATAATGCCCAATTTTTCATCGTTTTTGCGCCTGTTTTGACGGCGATGGCCAACAACTGCCGGTGCCACGCGCCTCATCTGCGCGCTTTTTCGGCGTTTTCGGCGTTGCGAGACGCGAAGCGCGACTTGGCATGGCATCTGCATATGGGTGAGCAACTCAACTGGTCGGAGGCGTCGCGAGGATGAAAAAGATTGAGGCGATCATCAAGCCCTTCAAGCTTGATGAGGTCAAGGAAGCGCTGCAGGAGGTGGGCCTGCAGGGCATCACGGTGACCGAAGCCAAGGGTTTTGGCCGCCAGAAGGGCCACACGGAGCTTTATCGCGGCGCCGAATATGTCGTCGACTTCCTGCCCAAGGTGAAGATCGAGATCGTCGTCTCCGACGAAACGGTCGACAGCGCGATGGAAGCCATTCGCAACGCCGCCCAGACGGGCCGGATCGGCGACGGCAAGATCTTCGTCTCTCCGATCGAGGAAGTCGTGCGCATCCGCACCGGCGAGACGGGCGCAGACGCCGTCTGACGGCCGACCGATACCCCAACACTCAACACTGCCACTTGAAAGGAAACAAAGGGAACACAATGAGTGCAAGTGACATTCTCAAGCAGATCAAAGACAACGATGTGAAGTTCGTCGATCTGCGTTTCAGCGATCCGCGCGGCAAGCTCCAGCACGTCACCATCGACTGCAATGTCGTCGATGAAGACATGTTCGCCGATGGCATCATGTTCGACGGCTCGTCCATCGCCGGCTGGAAGGCGATCAACGAGTCGGACATGAACCTGATGCCCGACACCGAAACCGCGCACATGGATCCGTTCTATGCGCAGTCGACCATGGCGATCTTCTGCGACATTCTCGATCCGGTATCCGGAGAGGGATACAATCGCGACCCGCGCATGACCGCAAAGCGTGCCGAGGCCTACGTCAAGTCCGGCGGCTTCGGCGACACGGCCTATTTCGGCCCCGAGCCGGAATTCTTCATCTTCGACGACGTCAAGTTCAATTCCGATCCCTACGATACCGGCTTCCAGCTCGACAGCATCGAACTGCCGACCAACACCAATGCCGAATACGAGACCGGCAACCTGGGCCACCGTCCGCGCACCAAGGGCGGCTACTTCCCGGTCAACCCGATCGACAGCGCCCAAGACATCCGGTCGGAAATGCTGACCGTTCTGGCGGAAATGGGCGTTGCGACCGAAAAGCACCACCACGAAGTGGGTGCGGCGCAGCACGAACTGTCCATGCTGTTCAACACGTTGACGCGCAAGGCCGACGAAGTGCAGCTCTACAAATATGTGGTGCACAATGTCGCCCACGCCTACGGCAAGTCGGCCACCTTCATGCCCAAGCCCGTCTTTGGCGACAACGGCACCGGCATGCACGTCCACCAGTCGATCTGGAGCGACGGCAAGCCGCTGATGGCGGGCGATGAGTATGCCGGCCTGTCGGAAACCGCGTTGTTCTACATTGGCGGCATCATCAAGCACGCCAAGGCGCTCAACGCCTTCACCAACGCCTCGACCAACTCCTACAAGCGTCTGGTGCCGGGCTTCGAAGCACCGGTTCTGCTCGCCTATTCGGCGCGCAACCGCTCCGCCTCGTGCCGCATCCCGTTCTCGGGCTCGCCGAAGGGCAAGCGCGTCGAAGTCCGCTTCCCGGACCCGACTGCCAACCCCTACCTCGCCTTCGCGGCGATGCTGATGGCTGGCCTGGACGGCGTGAAGAACAAGATCCATCCGGGCGAAGCCATGGACAAGGATCTGTACGACCTGCCGCCGGAAGAACTCGAAGGCATCCCGACGGTCTGCGCTTCGCTGCGCGAGGCCATCGATTCACTGCGTGCCGACAGTGACTTCCTCAAGGCGGGCGGCGTCTTCGACGACGACCAGATCGAGGCCTATCTGGCACTCAAGGAGGAAGAAAACATCCTCTTCGAGCAGATGCCGCACCCGGTCGAGTTCGACATGTACTATTCGGTCTGACCCGAGCGCACTCCGAAAGGCCGCCCTCAGGGGCGGCCTTTTTCTTTGCCGTCACTTCACGCCGATTGGCAAAGAATTACCCCTAAAAATTGCATCTGGTGGTCAAAGCGCTTTGGGGTATTGTGGGCCAGACCGTTCGTAGTGCTGGAAAGGGGGGCCGATGGCCAGCGCGCTGAACTTTCGACGCTCGCAATTTGCTGACGATTTCCTGTTCGGGGTCGCAACGTCTGCCTATCAGATCGAGGGATCGTCCTTTGGCGGGGCCGGCCCGTCGCACTGGGACACGTTTGCCGCGACGCCCGGCAACACAGCCAACGCCGAAGACGGCGCAATCGCCTGCGACCACTATCACCGCTATGAGGCCGATCTCGACCTGATCGCCGGGGCCAATCTGGACGCCTACCGGTTTTCGGTGTCCTGGGCACGGGTCATGCCCGACGGCCGCACGGTCAATCGCGAGGGGCTCGACTTCTATGACCGGCTGACCGACGCGATGCTGGAGCGCGGCATCAAGCCGATGCTGACGCTGCACCACTGGGACCTGCCGGCCGCGCTTGCCGATGAGGGCGGCTGGCGCAACCGCGACGTCACCGACCGGTTCGCGGACTTCACCGGCCATGTGATCGACCGCATCGGCGACCGCATGGCCGCGACCGGCACGCTCAACGAGCCCTGGTGCATCGCGTGGCTGAGCCATTTTCTGGGCAATCATGCGCCGGGCCTGCGCGACATCCGCGCCGCGGCACGGGCAATGCATCATGTGCTGGTCGCGCACGGCAAGGCCGTCGATGTGCTGCGCGCCGCCGGTCAGGACAATATCGGCATCTATCTGAACTTCGAGCCCGCCGAGCCGGCGAACGGCGATGATGGCGATGCCGAGGCCGCGCTCCGGTACCATGCGATCTACAATGAGTGGTTCCTCGGCGCGCTGTTCAAGAAATCCTATCCGCGCCGGGCATTGCAGGGGCTGCGGCCGCACCTGCCCGAAGGGTGGGAAGACGACATGGAGCAGATCGCACGACCGCTCGACTGGCTGGGCGTCAATTTCTATACCCGCAAGCTGATCGCCCACGATGCGGCCCAAGCGTGGCCATCTCTCAAGGAAGTGCCCGGCCCGCTGCCCAAGACCGACATGGATTGGGAAATCACGCCGGAAAGTTTCGAATGGCTTCTGGGCTGGATCGCCGAGAGCCACACCGGCGATCTGCCGCTGATCGTCAGCGAGAACGGCATGGCGTCAACCGACGTGCTGCTCAATGGTGCGGTCGATGACGGACCGCGCATCGCCTATCTGCAGGCCCATATCGACGCCATGCGCCGTGCGATCGACAACGGCGCTCCGGTCAAGGGTTATACGGTCTGGTCGCTGCTCGACAATTACGAGTGGGCGCTTGGCTACGGCAAGCGCTTCGGCATTGTCCATGTCGATTATGGCACGCTCAAGCGGACGCCCAAGGCAAGCTGGCATGCGCTCAAGCAGGCGCTGGCGCGCGATTAGGCCTTTCAGTGCGAAACGCTGTTTGACAGTGTGTTGATGACGACGACGCCGGCGACGATCAGCCCGATGCCGGCAATGGCGGCCGCGTCGAGCTTCTGGCCGAAAACAAACAGGCCGATCAGCGAGATGATGACGATCCCCGCCCCGGCCCAGATCGCATAGGCGACACCCACAGGGATCGTCTTCAGCGTCAGGGCGAGAAAATAGAACGCCACCGCATAACCGGCGACGGTTATCAGCGAAGGCCCCAAACGCGAGAAGGATTCCGACGCCTTGAGCGCGGAGGTCCCGATAACCTCTCCGGTGATGGCGATCGCCAGATACAGCCATGGCATGCGGCAAACTCCCTTGATGAACCGTCGGCGGCTTGCCTGCCGCACGCTCCCTGCTACAACAAACCGGTTCGCGCCGACATACCCCGCCGCGCCGTTTTCACGCCAGGGAACGCCTGCCTGACATGGACCAGAAGCCCGTCGTCACCGTCACGCTCAACCCGGCGGTCGATATCGCCACCGATGTCGAAACCGTCCGGCCCGATGTCAAACTGCGGTGCGGCCCCGCGCAGTTCGATCCCGGCGGCGGCGGCATCAACGTCTCGCGCGCCATCGCCAAGCTCGGCGGACAATCGACCGCGCTCGTCTCGTCGGGCGGGGCGACCGGCGAGATGCTGACCGCGATGCTGGCTGGCGAAGCCATCGATGCCGTGACGATTGCCGCCGGCGGACAGACCCGACAGTCCTTCACCGCGCGCGAGACGACCACCGGCCGGCTCTACCGTTTCGTGCTGCCGGGACCGGACTGGAAACCGGATACGGAACACGCGCTGCTGACGATGCTGGAGGCGCACTGCGCGCCAGGCGCGCTCTTTGTCGTTTCCGGCAGCCTGCCGCCCGGCGCCGACCCGTCCCTGATCGAGCGCATGCACGAGACGGCTTCGCGTGGCGGCGCTTTGCTGATCGCCGACACGTCCGGTCCCGTGTTGCAGGCGCTGTGCGCGCGAACCGGCACGCCGCTCCACACGCTGCGCATGGACAAGGATGAGGCGCTCACCGCATCCGCCCGACCGCTCGAAACGCCGGACGATTTCGCGGGCTACGGGGCAACACTGCTGGAAGCGGGCATTGCCCGGCATATCGTTATCGGGCTGGGCGCGCGCGGCTCCGTCGGCGTTTCGGCGGACGAACAGATCCTCACCAGCAGACCGGTCGAGCAACCGCTCAGCGCGGTCGGTGCGGGCGACAGTTTCGTGGGCGCCTATGCGCTTGCCATCGCAAACGGCGAGGATTTTGCGACCGCCCTCGTCCACGGCACGGCGGCGGCGGCTTCGGCGGTCCTCACGCCCGGCACGCAATTGTGTGACGGCGATTTGGCCGTCTCGTTCCGCGCCGAGGTTGCCACGACGCGGCTCTGACGGCATCCGCCCTTCCCCCGGCACGGCAAATCTGCCACATCTTTTCACCGAAGATGGGGAGACGATCCATGGCAACGCTGACCTTTTACGGCGCCGCCGGCACGGTGACCGGCTCGTGCTCGATGCTCGACACCGGCACGACGCGCTTTCTGGTCGATTGCGGCCTGTTCCAGGGCAACAAGACGATCCGCAAGCTCAACGACGGAGACTTTCCGTTCAACCCCGCCGATGCCGGGTTTCTGGTCCTGACGCACGCCCATATCGACCATTCCGGCCTGCTGCCAAAACTCGTCAAGCACGGCTTTTCCGGGCCGATCTACGCAACCGAGCCGACCTGCGATTTGCTCGATTTCATGCTCCGCGATTCCGCCAAGATCCAGATGTCCAACACCGAGCGCTGGAACCGCAAGCGACAGCGCAAGGGGCTCGAACCGGTCGAACCGCTCTACACCGATGTCGATGCGGAAAACACGCTCAGGCTGCTGCGGCCGATCGGCGGCTATGAAGAATGGTTCGAGCCGGCGCCGGGGATCCGGATCAGATTCTGGAATGCCGGCCATATTCTGGGGTCGGCTTCGGCCGAAGTGAAGTTCCCCGACGGTGACACCGGCAACACGATGCGGCTGCTCTTTTCCGGCGATATCGGCCCGGAGCAAAAGGTGTTTCATCCCGAACCCGAGGCCGAAACCGGATTTGACTACATCATCTGCGAATCCACCTATGGCGATCGCGACCGCGACGATTACACGCTCGAAAAGCGCCGCGACATGCTGCGCAAGGAACTGGTGCGCGGGCTCTCGGCCGGCGGCAATGTGGTCATCCCCGCCTTTGCCGTCGAACGCAGCCAGGAGCTTTTGCACGATATCGGCGTGCTGCTGGCCAATGGCGACATGCCCAACGCCACCGTCTTCCTCGATTCCCCGCTCGCCAAGAACGTCACGGAAGTCTTCATCAAGCATGCGGACACGCTGTCGGACGTGGCGATCGACAATGGCCAATTGTTTCGCGATCCCCAGTTCCGCCTGGTGCAGAATGTCGAGGAATCCAAAGCCATCAACCGCATCGATGGAGGCGCGGTGATCATCTCCGCATCCGGTATGGCCGATGCCGGCCGCATCCAGCACCACATCAAGAACAATATCTGGCGGCGCAACGCCACCATCCTGTTCGTCGGCTATCAGGCGCCCGGCACTCTGGGACACGTCATCACGTCGGGCGCCGACATGGTGCGCATCCACGGCAAGGAATATGTCGTCAACGCCGACATCCGTCGGTTGGGCAATTATTCGGCCCATGCCGATCAGGGCGAACTGATCGACTGGATCATGGAACGCACGCCCGTTTCCGGCGGCATATTCCTCAACCATGGCGACGACGACACCCGCGAGGAACTGGCCCGCCTTCTGGCCGATCGCGGCATCGACGCCGGCCATATCCACATGCCGCAATTCGACGAGAGCTTTGAGCTGGTGGCCGGCGACGCCCGGTCCAAGGGCCGCGTCGCCCAGCGCATACCGGCGGACGAATTGCTGACCGACTGGAACAACGATTATGCCGCGTTCATCGTCGCGCTGACCCAGCAGCTCAACACGGCCGACAACGATGCCGAACGGCGCGCGCTGATCAAGCGGCTGCAGGGCGCGCTCTGACGCACCCGGCCGCGTTACCTCGATGGGCGTGACCGATCAGGAGGCGCCGGCCTTGGCGGCATCGGGCGCCGCATCGCCGGGTTCGGGATCGTCGTCTTCCTCGTCCTCTTCATCATATTCGGACGGCGGCGGCTGGAAACGGCGCGCCATGAAGATCGACAGTTCGTAAAGAAGGATGGTCGGCACGGCGAGGCCGAGCTGGGTCATCGGGTCCGGCGGCGTCAGGATGGCCGCCGCGACAAAGGCGATGACGATCGCATATTTGCGCTTGTTTGCGAGCCCTTCCGGCGTCACCAGCCCGGCGCGCGACAAAAGCGTCAACGCGACGGGAAGCTGGAACACCAGCCCGAAGGCGAAGATCAGCGTCATGATCAGCGACAGATATTCCGACACGCGCGGCAGATGCTGGATCGAGGCGACGCCCTCGCCGCCGGTCTGTTCAAGCGACAGGAAGAACCACATCGCCATCGGAATGATCATGAAATAGACCAGCGCCGCGCCGATCAGAAACAGGATCGGCGTGGCCAAAAGAAACGGCAGGAACGCGCCGCGTTCATTGGCGTAAAGCCCCGGCGCGATGAACAAATAAAGCTGCGTCGCGATCAACGGAAAGGCGAGCACCAGCCCGCCGAACGCACCGATCTTGATCTGCGTGAAGAAGAATTCCTGCGGCGCGGTGTAGATGAACTGCACATCGTCGGCGGTCATGCCGTGCCAGTCGACGGCCCATTGAAACGGCACGACCAGCGCGTTGAAGATCGGCGTGGCAAAGGCAAACGACAGGATGAAACCGGCCAGAAAGCCGCCCACGCACCAGATCAGGCGGCGCCGCAACTCGACAAGATGCTCCATCAGAGGCGCGGCGGTCGCCTCCATCTGCGCCTCTTCGTTGTCTCGGCTCACGACGTTGTGCTCCCGCCGGTGTCCTGATCGGCGGCCGCCTTGGCGGACTGGCGCTTGCGCGGCTTTGACGATGCGGTCTTCGCCGAGGCGGTTTCGGCAGAAGCGGTCCGCTGCGATGCGGTCTTCGCCGTCTTGGCCGACGGGGACCTGGATGCTGCGGTGCTTGTCCCCCTCTTGCGTGTCGAGGACTTGGAGGCCGCGCCGTTCGCCGAGGTCCTGGACGACGGTTTTGCGCCCTTGGCGGGCTTCTCAGTTGCGCCGCCCTTGGCGGTCTTGCCGCGCGCCCGCGCTGTGGCAGGCGCCTTTGCGGCGGTTGAGGACGCGGGTTCTCCAGTGCGCGCGACCGGCTCCGCCGCCGGCTTTGCGGTCTTGCCGCTCCCGGTCCTTGCGGCCTGCGCCGCGCGCGCTTTCGCGCCGGCCTGATCGAGGCCCATCTGGGGCGGGCTTTTCGGCAGTTCGGGCAGTTTGCTGTCGCCCATGGCCCGCTTCATGTCGGCGTCGATGTCGCGGCCAATCTCCTCGAGCGGCTCGGACAGCGGATTGAGCGCGTCCTTGATCTGCTTGCGCGGATCGAGTGATCGAACATCGTCGGCAAGCTTGCGCACATCGTCCAGCTCCGCCTCCTTGAGCGCGTCGTCGAACTGCTTGCGGAAATCGCCGGCCATGCGGCGCACGGAACTCATCGTGTTGCCGAACCCGCGCAGGACTCGCGGCAGATCCTTCGGTCCGATCACAACGATCAGAACGATGGAAATGACCAGAAGTTCGGTCCAGCCGAAATCAGGCAGCATCGATCAGTTACCTTGCGCACACAGCGCGCGCCGCCCGGCCGTCAACCCTTGTTGACGGCGTCCTTGACATCCTTGACGCTCTCTTCCGAGCGATGCTCGACGGTGCGGGCCGGCTCCTCGGGCGTCTCCTCGTCCTCGGCGATCTCGTCCTTCATGCCCTTGCGGAAATTCCGGATGCCCTTGGCCACGTCGCCCATCAGTTCGGGAATCTTGCCGCGTCCGAACAGGAGCAGCACGATGACCAAGACGATGATCCACTGCCAGATGCTGAAGGCGCCCATGGATAGCTCTCCCTTAAATCCTTTGGGTTCACTTAAGCGCTTTCGCGCCCGCTTTCAAACAGCAATATGTCGCCGTTGCGTACCGAAATGGTGACATCGCGCGCATCGCGCGCCAACTCGTCGGCGCGGATGCGGGCGCTCACCGGCTTGTCCGCACCCTGGATGGCGATGAGCAACTGTTCGGAAACGCCCAGAAAGCGCCGTGCCGTGATCCGTCCCGGGACCGTTCCCGGCGGCGGCATGCCGCCGCCATGGGCGGCAACGTCAAGGCCGGCGGTGCGGATCGCGACCGTCAATTCGCTTCCAGGAGCGTGGCGGCCTGCGTCGAACCGGCCCAGCGGCGTTTCCACGCCATTGCCCTCGACTCGCGCGTCGAACGTATTGAGTTCGCTGAAGAACCCGGCAACGAACAGATTGGCCGGATCGTGGTAGATTTCGTCCGCCGTGCCCGCCTGCACGATCCGCCCGCGGTCGAGAAGAGCGATCCGGTCGCCAAGCCGCATCGCCTCCTCGGCATCGTGGGTGACGACGATGGTCGTGGCCCGCATCTCGCGCAGGATCGCCAGCGTTTCGGCGCGCACCGAGTCCTTGAGCCGCGTGTCGAGGCCGGAAAACGGTTCGTCCATCAGCATCACCGACGGCCGCGGCGCGAGCGCCCGGGCCAGCGCGACACGCTGCTGCTCGCCGCCCGACAGGACGTCCGGATAGGAATTGACGTGATGGCCGAGCCCGACACGGTCTATCGCCAACTGCGCCTCGCCGGCGGCGATGCGCGCCGCCATGTCGGTCAGCCCGAAGCGGACATTCTGCGCCACCGTCATGTGCGGAAACAGCGCGAAGTCCTGGAACATCAAGCCGACGGAGCGCTTTTCGGGAGGCTCGAAAACGGAAGGCCCGGCGACTTCGCGCCCGTTCATCAGGACGCGGCCGGCGGTCTGCCGCTCAAGGCCAGCCGCAACGCGCAGGAGCGATGTCTTCCCCGATCCCGAAGGGCCGAGCAGGCACAGGATTTCCCCCGCCCTGACCGTCAGCGAAATGCCCTTGAGCGTGTGCACCGGCCCGTAATGCAGGTGTATGCCCTCAAAGGTCAGTTCGGCGGCGAAGGTGACGCCCGTGCGCGGCGGCGGCGCTTTGGCCGGCGCTGAAGCCATATGCGTGCCCGTTAAACCCGTGTGACCGCGAGCATCTCTCCGCTCGCCCGGCGGAACCGCGAGTTCAGCCGGCAGGGCTGTCAATCATTGCCCGCTTTCGGTGTCAACAGACCGAGCTCTTCCAGATCGATGTCGGTCAGCGGTTCCTCGTCCTCGCTGAGCGTGTCCGGATCGGCGGACGGATTGGGCATCGCAAAGCCCGACGGCAGACGGGCGGACAGCAGACCTGCCGCCTTCAGCTCGTCCATGCCTGGCAGGTCACGCAGCTCCGACAGGCCGAAATGGTCCAGAAACGCCAGCGTCGTGCCATAGGTCACCGGCCGGCCCGGCGTCTTGCGGCGCCCGCGATGTTTCACCCAGCCGCTTTCGAGCAGCACGTCCAGTGTGCCCTTGGATGTTTCAACGCCGCGGATCTCCTCCATCTCGGCGCGCGTGACCGGCTGGTGATAGGCGATGATCGCCAGAACTTCGAGCGCGGCCCGCGACAATTTGCGCTGCTGGATCTGTTCGCGGCTCAAAAGGAAGGACAGGTCGGACGCGGTGCGAAATGCCCAGGAATTGTCGATGCGTACCAGATTGACCCCGCGCGCTTCATAGGTCTCCTGAAGCTGCGCCATCACCAAGGATACATCGATGCCGTCCGGCAGCCGTTCGGCCAGCGCCTTTTCCGTCACCGGCTCGGCGGAGGCGAAGACCAGCGCCTCGGCCATGCGCGCCGCTTCGGCCAGCGCCATGCGCGTCGCCGGATTGTCGCAGACCGTGTCGCGGCGGTCCGGCGCGTCGAACGCTTCGTCCAGCACCTGGTTGAGATCGCCGATGCCGAGCGCGTCGCCACCCTCGTCGATTTGATCCGTCACTGCGCCCTCTCCCCATCGCTGTCCGCCCCGGTCGTTGCCCGGCCCGCATCCCGCATCATCAGCGGCGCGAACGGCCGGTCCTGCCTGATATCGATCACGCCCTCGCGCACCATTTCCAGACTGGCCGCGAACGCGCTCGCAATCGCCGTCGTGCGCTCGCGCGGCGACGGCACATAGGCCAGAAGGAACGCATCGAGCGGCGTCCAGTCGGTCATTGTGCCGATCAGCCGGGTCAGAATGTCGCGCGCATCCTTGAGCGACCAGACGGTGCGCTTTTCCATACGCACTTCGGTGTTGGTGTTGCGCTGCCGGGTGCCCCCATAGGCCGCCAGCAGATCGTAGAGATTGGCCTGGAATGCCGATTTGCGCTCGATGACGACCGTTTCGGGCATGCCGCGCGCGAACATGTCGCGGCCCAGCCGATTGCCGTTGATCAGCCGCGCCGCCGCATCGCGCATCGCTTCGAGCCGGCGCAGGCGGAATTGCAGGATGGCCGCCATCTCTTCGCCCGACGGCTCGTCGGTCTCGCGCTGCTGCGGCACCAGAAGGCGGGACTTGAGATAGGCCAGCCACGCCGCCATCACCAGATAATCGGCCGCAAGCTCTATCCGCAGCGCCTTGGCGCCTTCGATGAACGCCAGATACTGCCGGGCGAGATCGAGCACCGAAATCTGCGTCAGATCGACCTTCTGGTCGCGCGCAAGGTGCAAAAGCAGGTCGAGCGGCCCCTCAAAGCCGTGAACGTCGACGACGAGCGAGGGTTCGCCGGTGGTCCGCTCCGGGCCGTTGTCCTGCCACACGGCATCCATCGGCACCGGCCTGGTCGGCCGCTGCGCCTTGGATGTTTCCGCACTCTTGGGCTGCGCCCCTGCCATCGTGCCGTCGCTCCATGGTGGCCGGCACCCGCCGCCTAGGCGACCGTCGCGACCAACCGTTCAAATTCATCGCGCAGCGCCGCCGTTTCGGACGCCGCGCTGCCAAGCCGGCGGGCCATGGCCGTGGCCCGGCCTGCGCGCTCCAGCGCCTTGCCCGACAATTGCGGCGCGGCCTCGGCGACGGGCCGCATTTCATCGAGCAGGCCGTTGCAGTGTAGAACGACGTCACAGCCCGCCGAAAGCGAAGCCTTGGTCCGCGCCGAGAAATCCCCAGAAAGGGCGTGCATCGACAGATCGTCGGTCATCAAGAGCCCGTCAAAGCCGATCTGCGTCCGGATCACTTCGCCGATCACGCGGGCGGATGTGGTTGCCGGATTGTCCGGATCGAGCGACGTGTAGACCACATGGGCCGTCATCGCCATCGGCATGTCCGCCAACTGCCGGAACGGCTCGAAGTCCGTCGATGCCAGCGTCTCGATGTCGGCATCGATCACGGGCAGCGCCTTGTGGCTGTCGACCAGCGACCGGCCATGGCCGGGTATATGCTTGATCACCGGCAAGACACCGCCCTCCAGCAAACCCTCGGCGGCAGCCCGGCCCATCTCGGCGACGCTCTTCGCATCGTGGCCGTAGGCGCGGTCGCCGATCACATCGTGAGCACCGGGAACGGGCACATCGAGCACCGGCAGGCAGTCCGCATCGATGCCCAGCGGCAGAAGGTCGGCTGCATGCAACCGGCTCATCAGCCGCGCCGTGTGCAGGCCTTGCGCGCGGTCTTTCCTGTAGAGCGCGCCGAGTACCGCGCCCGACGGATAGTTCGGCGCGATCGGCTGGCGGATGCGCTGCACCCGCCCGCCCTCCTGATCGATGAAAACCGGCGCATCGGTGCGGCCGACGATATCGCGGAACCGCGCCGTCAGATCTGCGATTTCGGCCGCTTCGCCGATGTTGCGCGCAAAAAGGATCAGGCCCCAGGGCCGTTCATCGGCAAAGAAAGCCGCTTCCTCGTCGGTCAGACGGGGGCCGGAACAGCCGAAAATGATCGCCTTTGATTCGGTCATGGCCCAGCATAACCGCTTGCCGGCAAAACGAAACGGGCGGCCACGCCGCGCGTCCGTTCGTCACGATCGAACCCGCTCTAGCGGGCGACGAAGCAGTTGCCGCCCGACGCCTTGATGGAGTTGCACAGGGCGTTGGCGTCACCCGAGCCGTTGGCCGCCACCCGCACCCGGTAGAACGTGCCGCGTCCCTCGATCACGGCGCGCTGGATCGTCAGACCGCGCCCCGCGATCAGCCCGCCATATTGCTGTGACAGGCGCGTCGCCGTTGCGCGCGCGGATTCTTCCGAAGGCAAGGCGGCCAGTTGAACGGAAAAGCCGGTCGAGCCGCTGGTCGTCGTCACAGGCACGGCGGCCTGCTGGGCGGCCGCTGCGGCTTGCGGTGCCGGTGCCGGCGCAGCGGCCGGTGCGGCAGCGACCTGCTGCCGGTTGACCACATTGACCGGCTGGTCCGACGGACGATCGCGGATGAGCGGCGGCGTCGCTGTGGTCGTCTGCACGCGCCGAACGACCACCGGTGCTGCCTCGCTGGCGGCCTCAGCGGCCGCTTGGCTTGCGGGGGCGGCAGACGTGCTGCTTGCCGCATCGGCTACTGGATCGTTGGCCACCGGCGCGGCCGGTTCGGCGGCGTCCGTCACGGGAACGCCGGCGACGGTCTGCGGCGCTTCAACGACTGGTGCGGTCTGAGGCGCAGCCGGCTGGGTCGCCGCCGGCGCGGATGCGACAGGCGTTTCGGTGGCGCCCGGCTGGGCGGCGCCGGTTTCAACCGGTGCAGGCGCGCGCTCCTCAAGCGTGCCGTCCGGCCGGACGATCAGCGTGCGCACACGCCGCGGCGTGATCGGCGCGACGGCATCCGATGACGACGCTTCGGTGCCGCCCTCGGTCAAACGGTCTTCCGCCTTTTCGCCAATCGCCACGGCAGCCGGCAGGCTGTCGGCGGGGGCGGTCGCAATATCGACCGGCTCTTCCGCGGTCGAAACGAGATTCTGCTGCGAGGGTTCCGCTGTGTCGCCATCGGCGAACACGGCGCGATCCTGGTTCGGCACGGTGGTGCCACCCGGATCGTCCGGCTCGATCTTGACCGGCGCGTCATCGGCTTCGACGAGCACAGGACCGTCATCGACCGCGCCATCGCCGCCTGAAAGCGCCAGGACGCCGGCAACGCCCGCAACCGCCAGGCCGGCCACGACGAGGCCGATGACCATGCCGCGCCGGCCGGACCGTTCGGCCGGCGCCGGCGCCGGCGCCGGCGTGGCATTATCTTCGACGGCATCGAGGTCGAGACCGTCCGCACCGCGTTGGGCGTTCAGATCATGGCCGACGAATTCCATGTCGCGGGCCAGTTCGGCTTCGAACTGCTCGGAATCGAACGCCGCCGCCATGGCGGCGGCGGGCGCCTGATCGGCATTTCCCTGCGCGAGACCGACGGGCTGGGGCGTCGCGTAGGGCTCCCGGTCGAACGCATCCTCGAACGCAGCGCCCACGCCGTCAGGCGCCTCGGCGGGGCGGGCATCGCCGCCATCGAACTCGGGAACCTCGAAGTCGCTGGCCGGAACGGCTTCGAAAGGGCTCATGTCGACCATGTCGAGCATCGGAGCCGGGTCCGCGTTGGCCGCAGCCATGGCGGCCGGCGGCACGGAGGCCGCATCATCGTCGAGCGACAGGGCGCCCGACAGATCGGCATCCAGCGCCGCTTCGAAATCGGCATCCATGGCGTCGAGCGTCCGTGCCACATCCGGCTCGGATGCGGCGGACGCCTCAGCCTCTGCGTCGGTCGCCGGCGGTTCATAGCCCATGATCGCGGCCAGTTCGTCGACCGGATCCAGCGGTTCGGCTTCGGCCGGCTGATCGTCGGCCGGCGCGGCGTCGGACAAATCCCGCGAAACGAAAGGGTCTTCGTTGGCGTCCGTGCCGTCAGCGGCAGAAAGTTCCTCGTCGAAAGCCGCGGCGAAATCCTCGTCGAGGCTTGGCGCTCGTGGCGCCTCAACGCCCATGTCTGGCTCCGGCCCGAATTCGGACCGGTCGGCGGCCTGCAATTCCGGCGCGGACGGTTCATCCCACATCGGCGCCGGCGTCTCCGCCGGATCGGCCGAGACATCGCCGGCCGGCGCCGCGCCCAGAGGCGAGGCATCGAAGGGTCCCCGATCCTTCGGCGCCGGATCGACCGGCTCGGCACCCCATTCGGCGTCCGGCATCATGCTGGCCGTTCCGGCGGACATCTCCACCGGCGCGGGATCCATATCGTGCGTGGCAGACTCTTCGGCGACAGGCGCAAGGCCGGCATCGTCCGAAGGCGGCGCAGGATCGACCGCCGGCGGGGCGGCCATGGCGGGCCCGGTGTTCGCCGGAGGCACGTCGGTGGAGGGCTCGGCCGCCCTGTCCCCGGCCAGCATCGCGGCCAGTTCGTCTTCCAGCGTGTGCGCAGCGGGCGCCGCGTCGGGAGCCGGTCCAGGTGTTGAAAGAAAGGCCGGCACCTCGTCGAAGGCGTCGGAGGCCGGCGGCGGCGCCTCCGCTTCGGACGGCGATGGCGGCCATATATCCATGGCAGGCGTGGGGTCGGCCAGGGGCGGCGAAAGCTCTGGCTCCATCACCGGCGCGGATGGATCGTCGGCCGATGTCGTGGCATCGATATCGGGACCGCCGCCGATGAAGGGCGGCAAGTCCACCGGCTCGGCCGGCGCTTCCTGCGGCGTCAGTTCGGCAAGCAGCGCATCTTCGAGATCGATCTGCCGCGCCTCGGGTTGCGCGCCGCCATCGGGTTCGAAACCGGCAATCTGCGACAGTTCGAGCAACGGATCGATCCCGCCAGGGCCGTCGGCCGGCAGGTCATCGTCGGAACGGAAAGGCTTGCGGTCGGCTGTGTCGGCCATGATAGCGGTCCTGAACTCTTACCCGGCAGGCCGGGTCGCACCCCGCCCCGCATTGACGCTACTGCCAGCGCAATATGGGCAAAACGTGACCCGCGATCACCGCATCTCGGTGGGCGCATCAACGCCCAGGATCGCAAGCCCCGACTGCAGAACGTTCAACACGCCCTGCACGAGACCCAGTCTGGCTTGCGTCAATTGTCGGTCGTTAACCTTAACAAAGCGTAAGGCGTCATCGGAGGTGCCCCGGTTCCAGTGCGCATGCAGCGCGCTGGCGACATCGTACAGGTAAAAGGCAACGCGATGCGGCTCGCGCGCCGAGGCCGCCGCCTCGATCAGGCGGGGATATTCGGTCAGCTTGCGCACCAGCGCGATCTCGCCCGGATCGGTCAGCCGGTCGAACGCGGCCGGATCGGGCGCGATCGCGCCCATCTGCTCGGTCGCCTGTCGCAGCACCGAATGGCACCGCGCCGACGCGTATTGCACGTAAAAGACCGGGTTGTCCTTGGACTGCTCGGTGACCTTGGCAAAATCGAAATCGAGCGGTTCGGAGCTCTTGCGGTAGATCATCATGAACCGCACCGCATCGCGTCCCACCTCGTCGACCACCTCGCGCAAAGTCACGAACTGGCCCGACCGCTTGGACATCTTCACCGGTTCGCCGCCCTTGTAGAGCTTGACGAGCTGGGTGAGCAGCACGGTCAGCGTCGCCTTGCCGCCGGAGACCGCGCGTGCCAGCGCTTCCATGCGCTTCACGTAGCCGCCATGGTCGGCGCCGAGCACGAAGATCATCTCGTCGAACCCGCGTTCGAACTTGTCGACGAAATAGGCGACGTCGGCAGCGAAATAAGTGTACTGGCCGTCCGACTTGACGAGCGGCCGGTCGAGATCGTCGCCGACATCGGTCGATCTGAACAATGTCTGCTCGCGGTCTTCCCAGTCGTCGGGCAATTGGCCCTTGGGCGGCGGCAGCGTGCCCTTGTAGACATGGCCCTTCATGGTCAGTTCGTTGATCGCGGCGCGGATTTTCCGTGCGCCGTCGGCATGCAATTGCCGCTCGGAGAAGAAGACGTCGTGATGGACGTTCAACGCCGCCAGATCGGCCCTGATCATGTCCATCATGGCATCGATGGCAACGTCCGTTGCGATCCGCAGCGCCTCGTCCTGCGGCTTGGTCAGAAGCGCGTCGCCATGGGCGTCGGCCAATGCCTGGCCGACCGGCTTGAGATAGTCCCCCGGATAGAGCCCCTCGGGGATCGCGCCGATCTCCTCGCCCAGCGCCTCGCGGTAACGCAGCAGTGCCGACCGGCCGAGCGCCATCACCTGCACGCCGGCATCGTTGATGTAATATTCCTTGACGACATCATGGCCCGCAAACGCCAGAAGGTTGGCCAGCGTGTCGCCGACCACGGCACCGCGGCAATGGCCCACATGCATCGGCCCGGTCGGATTGGCCGAGACATATTCGACATTGATGTTGATGCCCTGCCCCATCTCGCTGCGGCCATAGGCAACGCCCTTGTCGAGGATTTCGGCAAGCTGCGCGGTCCAGAAACCGTCCGAGAGCCGCAGATTGACGAAACCCGGCCCGGCCACCGACGCTTCGCTCACATCGGCATCGGCCGCCATCGCATCGGCGATCCGCTGCGCCAGCTCGCGCGGGTTCTGGCCCACCTTCTTGGCCAGAACCATCGCCGCATTGGTCGCCAGATCGCCATGGTCGGGATCGCGCGGCGGCTCGACCTGAATGCGCGACAGGTCGGGCGCCGAGCCATCGGCGGCGGTCAGGTCCATCCGCTGGACGGCATCGGTGATGCGGTCGCGGAACAGGGCGAAAATGTTCATCGAACGATCCTGGAGGGTGTGGGCCGGCGTCGTGCTGCCAGCGTTTGCGCGGCTGGCTAACGCAAATCCGGTGTCCGGTCAAACAGCCGCCGATGCTCGGAAAGCGCGAACGTGTCGGTCATGCCGGCAATGTAATCGGCAACGCGGATTGCGAGCTGCGTCTCGTCCAGGGCGGTTGCGTCGTCGGCCCATTCGCCGCCCATCAGCGACGGCGATCGGGTGAACCGGCGGAACAGGTCATGCACCACCGCCTCGGCCTGAGCGCGCACCCGCATCACCTCCTCGTGTCGG